AGTTACTTAGAGATACCTAAAATGAAATGCCGAGCACTGGCGTGTGTCTCAACTCTTGCCCCTCTGCGGAGCTTAGATACCCAGCTCAGGGCTGGACACAGGGGAGATTTGGGCACTCTTTGGGAGCTATTTCTTGAAGCAGAGATTAGGAGCAGACAATTCTCCGCTCATTCCACGGCTTCCATGACCTCCATCACAAGCGTCCGGGGTCCCGTCATGATGAGGCTGCTGATGGTCGGATAGTCCAAATGCAGAACATATACTCCATTCACGGAGAAAACAAACTGGCAGACCTGGAACGGAGAGGGAGGAATGGTTGCATTTCCCGATGCCATGACCTGCCGGATTGCAGCAATGCAGGTACCTGCTACGCTGCACGGCCACCAGAAAGCATCCGGCTTCGGCGGTTGCACTAAGAACCCCATCTTCCAAACAGCAACCAAAGGCATTGATGCTCAGAGCTACCACAAAGTGCCTCTTTGACCTTATGATGAAAAATTTCAGCTGAAGTGAGGCTTGATAGTACAGTTCGGCAACTTTGTCGTAAGCGATTAGAAGAAGGAGTTCAAAGAAATGTTTTCTGAAGCAAATAAAGTAAATGTCACCAGTACTTACCCTATCCGGGTCTGCCCGAGGAAGGTGAGTCTAACCCTTGCCCTCTCTGAGAAAGTGACATTATTTCAAATATTGCAGTAACTTATATTAGATTTGTACAAATGACCGTGCTTGGGCTTTTTACCCTCAACCAGCAAAACCACAACTTTCCTTTTCCTTTCTTTCTAAAATGTTTCATCCAGAAGCACAAAACCCATTTACACTTGGTCTGTTGGTCTACCATGGTTCTCAGGAGCTCGGCTTATTTTATGCCAGGTGGAAACAGCAGAATGATTGCAAAATGAATGCATCCAAATGTGCCTCCTTCCCGAGAGAGATTTATCCAGCAGTGCAGATCCAAACAGCTTTCACATACCAAAAAAAAATTCCACGGAGCAACTTTGTTTTTAGTAACCAAGGCAAAGAAAAAACACTTAATTACCCTGAAATATGTAATAAAGAACATTATACACCAGTGTTCTCCTCTTCCCCTAATGTAAATTAATTCCATGAA